TACTTCTTTTGCCTCTCAACATACAGCCATCTCCACAGAAAATCACATCACATGGGAGGGAATTGTCAGGAATCATTTGCTGAACTTCCGATGCTGTTGGCCCAGTACAATTTATTTTACTATACTCACGGCCTAATGTGATTAAAACCCTTCTGTTCTGTAAAGGGCCCTAACTGATTTCCAATCAGAAAATAACTTTAGGCTGTTATTCATTCCAACTTCAAACAAACTGTACACTTCCTGTGTGGGTCTTGGGACCCACTTTGAAGGACTGGGGGTGGAGTGGGGTGGGGAACTAGACCCACTGCCTATTAACAAGCACATCACAAAAGTAGACTTACTAATCAAGGAGTTTATGAAATAAAATGTTTTGGGCAGAAAAGGTGCTGAATTAGCAGAAGAGCTGTAAACCACAACAGGCAAAGGAAGCAGAAGAAGAAAATGTACACAGGGAGCTTATATGTTCAAAGTTCTGAAGCAACTTCAACTTCCCTATAACAAACTACAGGTAACATATTCACAAGGCATAACTGAAAATTACATAAAACTAATTCCTAAACTAGAAAATCAACAAAAAATCTTGACATGTTTCAAACAATCCAACAGAAACGTAAATATTTAAGACCAACTAAAACTTGTAGAACATTAAATGAAAAAGCAACAATCATTATAAATTTCTAAAGAAAAGGTATAAAATGATCCCAACAAATCCAGAGAAAATAAAATCATGATACAATGTAAAGAACAACTGTTTAAAACAAAAAGTCTAACTCATTAACAGAAAGGACACAGTGATTATTTGCTGTATATGTTCCTTTATAGTTCTTATATCAATGGAGTTCATGGTGGCACACAATTCAACTGTCAACATTACAAGAGCTCTCAAAACCACATATCAGACTAACTTACACTTTTTTACAAGCAATCACTGTTCTCTATAAAATAAAATTTCAAACTAAAGACTTTAAAAAATATTAGATGACATTCACTTATTTTGTTGCCAGGTAGTTTAGAATTATTTATGTTTTACAAATACAGACAAAATACACAAAATATTTTTTTTTTTTTTTTTAGATACTAGTACACAAATCATTCTTCTTTTTTATCACTTTCCCTGCTGTGCCATTTAGCATCAGATTAAAAATCTGTTCTGGATGAAGCCTATGTTTAAACTGCACAAATGGTGATTTTTATTGCTGCTGCTGTTCTGGTATTGCCCTGCAAGCATTACAGACACATCAGAGATGAATAATACATCTAAAATAACGATAATAATGACTGGTTGGCCAAGACATGTGTAACTAAGAAATCAAATGTGCTGATAGCTATATTAAGTTCATTAGAAACCATACACTGTACTCCTCAGAAACAGTGTTAACACTACTGAATCAAGTGTCAAAACACTTGAGTTTAAGAACTGCTAACAGATATTAATTTATAATGCTTTTAACACAGGATTTCCAGGCCACTTTAGTATTTTTTTTAAGGGAGTGCACCTTTTACTGCAGGTAAATAAAATAAAAAATGTCCCATTATAAAACAACAAAAAGTATTATACAATAACCAGAAATGTTCCAGATTTTTAAAGATGCAGCAGCATACCAATGTACACACAAATATATGAGATCACAGAATATGATAACAGTAGTTAATTCTGATCTGGCTTTGATGCATTGTGAAAACGAATAATAGCCAATAAGTATCGCGTTAATAAAACACAGGAGATAAACTAACACAAAAAAACCAGATGTGAGACATTACAGATTTTAAGTCTCCATGCAGTGTGTTGTTAAAAATTGTTTAAACTGAGATTCCAAGAAATATCACATAAAGTATACATTACTTTACTTATTTATACTCAAATGTTGAACCACTCTAATTTTCACTTTCAATTTCATAGAAAGCAGTTGCAGTCCTAGCTTCTCGATGACAGTCAAATCAACTCGATGACTCAGTCAAATCAACTCGATGACTCAGTCAAATCAACTGAAGAGAATTTTTATAAATCAGTATTTGAAAATAATTTCATGTTCCATTTGAAACAAAATTGACCTGACCCCGTAAACAGGTTGCTGGCGACCACCAAGAATTAACAGAAGTTATGACGTCATAATTTCTATTTTTAAAAAGCCAATTTTTCTCTAAGACGCCCCCACCCCACATGCTTTTTTTTAAAGTAATTGTAATCATTCCCACTTCAGGAAGTGCCAAGTTTGTAGCTTATCTGAGTGAAAGGCTAAAGGCAAATGCAGAAGAAGAAGAACTAGATGAAGAAGGAGAATAAGGTGTTCTAGAATTAAATAAGTTTCTGTTTTCAAGAAAATGTTTCAAAATATCTTAAAATTGCAGAAAAGTCATAAGCCTTTCCATTCTGTCTGTGATTGAAAGAAAAAACCGCACACGTGGACTAACACAAGTGAAAAAGAACAAAAATGTACAGCACCCCCCCCCCCCCCCCCCCCCTTTACAAACTGAAAACTGTGATAAAATATAATCAAGCATGTTGGCTGACCTTTCTCATCTAATGTGTGTTACCCTTCGACACCCAAGAATAACTGTCCTTAGTACATTGTAAGGAAAGTCAAAACATATTTTCTCTTGTTCATAGCAGTGAGGGCACAGAAACAACCAAAGACGAGTTAAGTCATTCAGAGCAGTCAACAGGCAAACGACTAAACCTGTCCATAGCAACGATAGGCTCAATGCCAACCCCCCCCCCCCCCCCCCCCCCCCCCCCCCCCCCCCCCCCCCCCCCCCCAGCCAAAAAAAAAAAAAAATAAATAAAGCGAAGAAAACTCTGAGAAAATGCTACAGAGAGCTTTTTGATGCTAACTTCTATTTCAGTAGAGTTTTCATCAAATACCAAAAAGACAATAGCTGCAGACAGCTCAGTGCTGTTTATTCGCCTCCATGAAGTAGAGCAACTGGACACAAAAATTGCCCTAAGATCTGTTGTGAGTGATTGACAACACAACTTGCTGGTCATGCCTAAACATCAGTACCTAAATCTAGTACATCAAAAACAGAGTAAAAGTAAGTAAAAAAGTAAAGTTCCCTTTTCACGCCTTTCGGCGCATCGGGCATATGGGCAGAGCGTCCCATATTTTTACAGACCATCAGCACTCTGTGGGTAATGTGGTCAGCATTACGCCGGCTGTCTTTACTTTCCCAGGACAGCCCATCCTGGTACCCATTTTAGGCTGGGTCGACCTGAAAAAACAGAGACAAAACTATAATTTATTAAAATGAACACACAGAAAATGTTAGTAGAAAGCCCAATAAAGAGAAAAGAAAGAGGCATCAGATATAACTAAATGTTTAGACAAACACAAACGTCTTTATCAATGAGTGGGACAGCAAGGATCCTCCACTGCAAAAATAAAATTTAAAATATTTACTTGGACTACTGATTGATTTTGCTGTGTCTTTTATTGCATGGCTCAACTGTCTGTGATTTTCAAAATTTATTGTCACAATCTGATTCTTGTTGTCGAAGACTGGTTGAAATATTCCACTGCCATCTGCATGAGTCCTTCCTTTTCTTTTATTGCGCTCCCTAGTAACATGATGTGTGTATTCAACTAACAGTGTCAACTCAACGGCAGTTACCCCCAATTTTTTTTACACTATTATGTCATGCAATTACTCACTAAAACAGAAGCAACTTGAAAGGGATATTTCTTCTTGGCAACCGCTAAACTAATTTAACAATCAGAAGATTTCCACTTCAGCAATGCTTCATCTTTTAACTTTTTAGCTCTCTGAGTCCTGAGCAGTGGTGACTTAAACTCCTTATATCTCAAGGAGTAAGGGTTAACAGCGATACGTTTTTGGTCTGACTGAGTTCAAAAGAGACAAAACTCTGCAGAGTTAGTTAAACTAATGATTCAAATATAAAGAGTTAGCAAAACATGTGTCAGTAATAGACGTAGTGGGTATATATGTCTACACCTATATTTTATAGACTAATCAGTACTTGGTGGGTGGTGAGGTCAAAATCACACCGGCCGCCTTTACTTCCCAGGCCTGCAACTGGTACCCACTCAAGGCTGGGTCGATCTGGGAGCCAAGGTCATTTTTTTTTAAGAATGCCTGGTTCCGTCAGGACCCGAACCCATGACCTTCCAATCCCCAGGCAGCTACACCACGGCCACTGCCAGAGAATAGTAAGAATATGATATTATCCCTGGGATGACCAATAAACGCAGAGTGCGTAGTTGGGCACTGAAAGGGTTAGAAATGTATTTTTTCTCTGAAACCTTCTGGACAATCAATTATTCTAAGAAAACAAACACAACACAAGCATTATCACACCAGTCAATTATACAATATGGCCTAAAAAGGCTCTCGAAATATGATTTGGTAATTTGTATTTTCTCAAAATATTGCAAAGTAGTGCATTAAAATTGCAAATAATGCATGTGCTTAATGATCAGATGCAATGTATACTTATTTTTATACTCTTGTGATCTCAAGATGTAACACCTGAATTAAAAAAGATGATGTTATTATCTTTGCGAAACAAACTCAGTATGAAATAATTTACAACTGCTGTTTAAATAAATGGTGGCCTTAGGTAAACAAATTATAAGCTGGCCATATCACAGATAGAAGTCTCATTCATTAAAATGATAACAGTAATATTATTCTCCCCCAGGGTGTTCTTGTCGTGACCAGAAAATGTTTAATGCATATATTTAGTAAGAAATGTTGGTTATTCTGACCACAATATTTCAAAAATGAATTTGGTCGAACAAAAAACTTGATATTGTTTCTGGTCAGTAATCCAAGAAGTTTGGTGAAGATTTATATCTTGAATCTCCATACTGGGTCTCTGCATACATCCTCCATACTTGATCTCTCTGTATACATCCTCCATACTTGATCTCTCTGTATACATCCTCCATACTTGATCTCTCTGTATACATCCTCCATACTTGATCTCTCTGTATACATCCTCCATACTTGATCTCTCTGTATACATCCTCCATACTTGATCTCTAGGTAATCATCCGCCACACTTGGTCCTCCAGTAACTCTGACATATATGCATTGTCAGCATCAGCATCCCTGTAGAAAACAGCAGGGGGGACACAGAATTTTGGCAACAGCTGCCAACGTCTGCCAAGACTTTCAGATACCTGAAAACGACAACATTTGTCCATCTATTATTTCCATTATTAAATAAGCAACATTTATATACGTTTTTTTAATGATAGTTTATCAAAAAGGTAATAAACTTCCAATTATTTATATATTCTGGTCATACATTATTATAATTGTGTATAATTCTCTGGTCATACATTACATTCTTAAAAAAAAATTTAAGGATTATCCATTATAAAAATCCAGTGTCTGTGGCTTGGGTGTTAACACAGGTTCACAATCCAAACTTACCATGGATCCACACACATACCAGGGTGCTACAAATATACTAGGATGCTACAAACGTAACAGGATTCTACATATATACCAGGGTGCTACACACATACCCGGGTGCTACACACAAACCAGGTGCTACACACATACCAGGGTGCTACACACATACCAGGGTGCTACACACATACCAGGGTGCTAAAAAAATGAATGTGCTTCAAACATAAGAGGGTGCTACAAATATACAAGGATGCTATAAACATACCAGGGTGCTTCACACTTACCACAGTTCTACACACATACTTGGGTGCTACACACATATATGAGTGCTACACACATACCTGGGTTCCACAAACAAATTTACCAGGGTTCTACAAACAAAGACACTAGGGTTCTACATACAAACAAGAGTTCTACAAACATATGAGGGTTCTAAGTCAGTTGCAGGCAATACTGTAGCAGACTACTCTGATTTTGACAATGGGATTAGTGTTGTATCGTTCATAAAACATTGACAAATTAATAAAGGTTAAAAGTTAGTTGTGTGTCCTTTACAGGATGTTGTAGAACCAACCCAAGCATTTTTGGGCTGTTGTGGTTTTTCTTGGCAAATGCTATGTTCAGTAGTTTGCCACTGCTTTCTGGGCAGTCAGCTCTCGGTACCAATGTGGAAACCAACGCAAGACAAATCATCTGCAGCTGGAACGAACCCAGCAAGTGCGCTCGCAATACCAAAGCCACACACTTCATAAAACTGCAACAACTACTGAGGACGGTTTGCCAGGTCCTATGAAAGAGATGCAACTAACATGAAAATATTTATAGTTGCATGAAAGACAAAAACTATTCATATATTTATTCCACACACAAGTTTTTGTATTTGAGCTTTCACAAGTAAGCAGCTTTCTTTACACTAGTGTCATTGTGGATTGATTATCTTTTGAATAACGTTCCATCCAGGACACCCTCTATGTCTTTAGCATTTAAACTGTCACTTACATAAACTCATTGTGATATCTTCACATTACTATGGAAAACATAAGGTTTCAAGTGAAGTTGCAGACACTTTCCCAATCAGTGAAATAAGACAGATTATTCACAGATTTCACAGATTAATATATGAAAATAACTCCAATTTAAAAAAAAAATTAAAGTAAGAAGATTTAAAACACTAACCTTAAACTGTAGGTCCAAGAGGGCCTCATCCTCATTGCAGTAATCTGCATCCTCTTCACTCCAAAACACACAGCAAGACGGAACCACTAATTCGTGGAGACTGGCCCTCAAACGGGCTATTGCTACTAGGTCTTTCTGGTCCATTGACACCCCTGTCAACAAACGAAAAATTAATGTACCCTTCAAAAGTAAAGTAACTAGTGTACGTATTATTAAACATGGATAAAGAACTAACAAGTGTGCCTGGAATAATACATAGATAAATATCAAGCAACTTTAAACAAGGGAGCACAGAATAATAAATAAGTCAATCAACTAATAAAAAGAGAATGAATAAATAAGATATTATTGATGAATAAGAAATAATTAAGATGCAGGAGTGAAAATAAAATCTCTAGGTTAAATCTAAGACATTGTGCGTTAAATTCATTCCTCATTCCAACCAACCTCACCCCCCTCTACTACAAGTCAGTTGTTAGCCCCGTTAAGGACCAATTCTTACTAGGCGCAACACCCAAATAAAGTACAAGGAATAAAAGCAGAAATAAAAACTACACAACAAAGCTGGAGAAAGCACTATGAATAAAACCTTAATAGGAATATTCCTTTTCATGACTGCACCAGTAAAATATAAGAACAGATGAAGATGCCATCAAAAGCAAGCAGTTACTGACAACACCAAGGCAGGTACTTCAAAAGCCAAGTCATTTTCAAGACAATACCAAAAGAGCTGTAATGAAGTATAAAGAGGAAAAAAGAAAGGACTAGAGGTAAAAGGGGGGGGGGGGGGGGGGGGGGGGTGAAATACATTTTTTCAAACCTTTTCAGACAAGGACAGCATTATCAAAAGGAAGGAAGGAAAAACAGAATATTACTTAAGTTTTAGCCAAACTAGGTGGGGTGGAAACTTTTTAGCCTAAGGTGACATACCATACTTATTACAAACTTGAACAAGGAAATGACTCAGATTACACAACTGATTTCCTCCTTTCGCAGTTTAGAGTAGAATGTTTCTGATCTGGGAAATTTTGCCTTAGCTTCCAGAATGATTAAAGATTATTAACAGCTTATCTTTAGTAAATAAGGATTTTTTTTCAAACATACAACTGAAAACACTATCTTTTCTTTAAATGTTCCTTTTTGGTTTTAATCATCTGTCCAGTTAACTTTACTTCTTCAAATCAAACTCTTTAGAAAACTGCAAGGGAAAAACCAGGTAAACACTAGACAACTACAACACCAATGTAAGACATAAACCAATCTCCTTCTTCTTTGAGTTCACGGGCTGAAAACTTTGGCATAAAGTTTTGGTTGTTTGTCCACTTCTGTACTCCAATCATGTTTCAAAAACTTGAATTCAGTGTGCACATATAATTTACATGTCTGCTTTATTGTATGCAGACTGTAACAAGTGAGGAGATCGACTTTACTACATAGGATTTATATCCCAATTGGCTTGAATTCTCCCAGTGTAGGGTATTTAACTGCTTACCAAGAAAATCACATAGATAATAAACTCCACAGTTACAGCACCGATCTCTTTGGGATCTTCAGACAATTTCACCTGTGAAGCCAGTCTTACAGTCAGAAAATGAACCCAAGACTTTCAGAACTTGCGGCACATGGCCTGAATGGGGACCTCTTTAAACAATGAGCCAGAATTCATTCATAGTAACAAATAAGTAAAGGACCCTTTTTAAGCTAGTGGAGGACCTTTTGTCAGTGTTGCATCAAAAATATGTTTCTAGACGTATATTTTCATAAGCCGATCAGTACTTGACTGGGAAGGTGGTCAACATCATCCCGGCCACCTTTACCTCCAAGGACATCACTCGCTAGCCATTTTAGGCTGGCAACCAAGGTCAAATGTGAACAATGTCTCACTTTGAACCCAAGACCTCTGAGAAAGCAGATGAGAACATTTCTGTTCCTCAAATTAATTCATGCTTTATTACAATTTCATAGAATTACAAACACACTTACCAATGAGCTTTAGTGATTCAAGTCTTGTGCAGCGCCAAGCTAGCATGACAAAAGGGTCCTCTGTGTTATAGTTGCTATAGATTATAGGCTGAAGGTCTATAGCTTCAACAATGGTCAGAGAGCGAAGTGTGCAACGGTAATGTCTGCTGATAATATTCAGTGAGGCTACACTTATGTCCCCACAAAAGTACTGTCGAAAATGTGTCAGGGGCATGGAAGGTCTGAGAATGTCTAGAAGAGCCTGAAGGCCTTCTGGGGAATGAACAAGGTTCAAAGTCAACTCCATTGTTGGATTGGCCTCCACGACTTTTTTCCACATGATGTCCGAGGGCTGTTGCTGACCAACTCGATGGACGTGCACAAACAAGCAGCTCAATGGGATACAGTTATGCTGGCGACTTGCCAGGCTTGACATCAGTTTCGGGGTGAGGAAATCATAATCCAAACTGAGTGACCTAAGATTTGAAAACGCTGAGATTCTGTCCAGTCCAATCATCGGAATATCATAGGAGCTAGAATCTTCTTTTACACTGGCAAGATGCAAAGACTGAAGGTATGGGGCATGGTACTTTATGAGCAGGTTCAACACCTCCTGAGAATTGTGCAGAAGAATCTCAGTACAGCCCAAGGATAAATGAAGAAGACGTCTGTTTCTTTTCACCACCAGATGCAGGGATTCAATAAAGCTGAGGAAAGTACTGAACTGTTAATAATTTCTTATTAAAACAGTGTATACATACAAAGCAAGCAATAAACATAATAAACACAATTTACAGGATGCAGGCATGCTGAGTCTAACTATACTGGATAATTCTTTTAGATTCTCATATTTTTCAACATTATTATGTTGAGTAAGGTTAATCTGATAATTTATACACCAATTTGTGTGTCTTAGGATTTCTTCTTCTTCCTCCTTTAGTCACTAACGGAGCAAAAGCCTTCAACAAACTCATGCAAAGTCATCCTATAATTTGCTATCGCATGCAACCCACCCCATATCCTTCCCATCTTTGAATCTTCATTTTCTCATTTCCTTCTCCATTTTTATTTTTGGTCTGCCTTTATTTCTTTAAGCCTGTGGGCTCCAGTGTAGAGACATTATAGTTACAATGTTTTTTTTTAAATCAACTGCTACTAACGATTTTTTTTAAACGCTGTGATAGCATAATAGTTAGAGTACATGCCCACCAGAAAGTTGCATGGGTTCAATCCTCGAGAGGCAGCATTATTTTCCCAACAAGTATACCTCAGAGTCGACCCAGCCTCATAACAATAAGTACTAGACAAATTAGAGTAGTTCCGGCAAAGTGTCAGGAAAGGAACGGTGACGAGGGAGGGAGCTAGCAATTCCAAACAGTGTTCTTCAACATTTTTACACAGTGGACCAAGAAAACAGGGGAATTGTTTCGCTGACCACCTAACAGCTAACCCAAAGCAAAACAAATGTAGGCTACAGTTTATCTGTTAAATCCGATGGCACAAAATTACATGTTTCAACTAAAGAAATGTGTGCTGCTGCTTGAGATCAGAAAGTATTATCTATGTGCTATACAGTCTCACTCGCTAATATGCAGCAATGTAGCACCAGAATCATGTAGCTGCTATATATTTAAGTATAAACTTCTGGCTGCCCGCCAGGAAATTTCCACGGACCACCTGAAACACTGGGCTAAAGTATGTGAAAGCCTAACATTTCATATCCCAATGGCACTAACTGTTATGAGACAACAATTAGATTATATTTAAAACTGATTATACTTTCTGTCATTTATCAGCTCCTAGTTTCACTCAGCCAGCTTAACCACACAGGCTTTTTGCCCCATTATCATCATCTTCTCAAGGAAATGTTTATGCTGTCCATGCCCTCTAATGTGGCCCAAAATATTTCAATTATACTTTTTTTTTAAATTTATTTTATCTCTTTCAGTACCAAGGAACGCATCACAGGTTCCTACCTAGTAGCCCAATGAATGCAAGATGAGCCAATTTTATGTCTCTTTTTACTACCCCTTGGGCCTCTGATGCTAACCCCCACCCCCAGGACTGGAAGAGTTAGATATTTCCAATCTCCCCCAAACCTCTGTATTTCATTGTTTTTATTTCCAAAAAATAGGATTTATTCTTCCATATATCCACTTTCCTGGGTTTCAGTTTCTAGTTGCTTGTTCATTGTCCAGAACGCTGCACTAAATCCACAAAGATGTTTTATTTTATAACGATTAACACTTTAGTCCAAATAACATACTATGTATGACTGGATGACTCTTGTACATTAATAAACATGTTATAAATGTTTGTACATATTACATTTTGTCAGAGCACACTCTAGAATAATTTATCTGAAAAATGCTGTAAGAGTAATTTAATCAGAAGAAATAAAATCAGGAATGAAGTCATTACAGAAAAAATCAGCATAGATCCAATAATAAACTGCATACAAAGACTGCAAACAAAAAATTGTTTGCCCACTTAGAATCTTATGTGACACCATATCATTCAACGCATTCAACATCAAGAGAGGAGAGGGACGTACAGGATGAGGCAGACCAAAGGAAAGATAATAGAGAAACTCTACAACAGTATAGTGTGTCTAAGGTCAAAGCGGCAAGAAAGCAAGAAGCAGAACTGTAATCTCCCTCAACACCTGAAGCAGTTAAAAAAAAAAAAGATGGAAGTAGAGAAGATAGTCTAGAAACCCAACAACAACAGCCGTCTCCTAAAACATGCTGTGTATTTGGACAATGTGTATGTGATATACCATTAATTTTGTTGTTGTGATTATTGCTTACTTAGGCATCAGCTATGTAATTAAGGCACTTGCAAACTGCAAACTAACAGAAATCACAAATATGTGAATTATAAGTCATATTAACTTATTAAGTCTAAAACAAAACCAATAAATTAACATACATATATATCTCAGACTGGGAAAATATAATAACTGTCTATAATAAAAGATAAAGATGCAAATGGAAGTGAGCTGAGTTAGGGAAAAAAAAACTACAACATGTTGATACAATCAGACTGCAATGTTGGGGCATAGAAAAAGAATGTCAGATAATAGAGAGACAAGAACCGGACACAAAAAGTGGATGCAAGAAGACCATGAAGCAGACCAAGAGGATTGTAGAGCGATATACAGATCGACAAACACATGGAGAAAGCGGAAAGAGACGGCCAGTAAAAGAGATGAACAACTGTGGTATTTGCAGTAATCTGCTTCTTCTTCTTCGCGTTCACCAGCTGTACACTCTGGCGGAAAGTTCTGGTTGCTCGTCCACTACTGAACTGCAGTCCTGCTCCAGAACCTGAGTGTTGCGGGTGCATCAGTTTTACACATCTCATTCTCTTGAATACAGACTGTTGGTTCCCTGCCTCTCCGGCAGAAGCACTCCGACTTCAAAGAAAGCTTCCCCTTGTTTTCCCCACAATGGGGCCCCGGAACCCACACGGGGGAATTTGCAGTAATGAATCTCAATGGTTCAAAATGCTAAAGCTGAAGAAGTAAAACAATCACATGTACATAGGTAGAGATGATTAGTACAGAACTGATTACTGTTACTAGCTGCCTGGAACAAAAGAAGTTGACTGACTGGCACCTTTCTGTCTTTCCAGATGATGGTGTTATACTGCGCTATGAGGAGGCATGGGACTCACTGTCTAAGGTGATGGCGAGTGTGATTCGCAAGACTTGTCCAGGTTAAGAAAAGACTTCTACAATTATAGCACTGGATTTCAGGACAGCTGTTGTCAACATTTGTGTTTAGTCTGTTTCTTCTCAGATGCTCAGCTCTCAGCCTTTCTACAACAATTTCTTCCTTCATTCTCATTCCCTTCCTGGTGTGCCCCCAACCACACGGTTTATGGCATTTTGCTCCCATGAGTCCACCTCAATGCCTGTATCATTCATGTCCTGCCTGCATAATCTTTATATCGCAGTAGAGGTCAGCCTTGACATCTTCTACCCGTCTTTAATTCACCACAAAGGATGTCATTAGGGACGCTGGCATCCTCCATTTTCCAGGTGTGACCCAGTCACCTGCACCTTCACAGACTGAGCAGTGAGGAAGACTGTTGTAATGCCTGCTCCTTCCAATACCATAGTGTTTGTGATCTTGTCCTGCCACTTAATGTTAAATATTCTTCTTAGGCTTTGCAGGTGAAAGCTATTTAGCCGTTTCTCCTGGTGCAAATAAATTGACCAAGTTTCACTGCCATAAAGCAGAGTGCTGAGAACACAAGCCTAACAGACAAGAGTTTTTTAATTTAATGGTGAGCTTTCTGGTCTCCCAAACTCTTTTTGTTAATCTGCTCATTGTTGTTGCTGCCTTACCTATCCTGATGTTGATTTCTTGGTACAGCTACAGTCTGTTATTCACTGTTGATTCCAAATAGGTAAAATGGTCAACGGCTTCAACCTCTTCACTGTCAATGTAGACTGCAAGTTTATCATTAACACCTTTGTCTTTGTTAGTCAAAATTCACTGCATGCATTAGCAAATGCAGACAGTAAACATTGCAGCTCCTCCTCTAAGTGGGTGGTTATTGCTGCACCACCTGCAAACAGCAATTCTCTGATAAGTACCTATCATCCTGGTTTGGCCTTCAGCCTAGGAGCATAGTAAAGGTTGCCGTCAGATTGAGAATAGATGAATATACTACCCTCCTGATCTCGAAAGGCTTACTTCAAAAGAAGTGAGAAGTATATTCCAAAGAGTGGTTAATTTTTTTCACTGCATTTTTTTCTGCAACTTTCGTAATTAAAATATCATATCAGTGGCAAACCAGTTCCGACGAAAACCTGGTATCCTAGGATCTAGTCTCCGTCGCACAATTCATCACAAGTACTTTACCAACAGTACACAGCAGTGATATTCCCCCTGTAGTTATTGCAGTCACTCCAATCACCCTTGTTCGTGTACACAGTTATGATGTTTGTGTCTTTGATGTCTTGCGGAGTGTTATTAGTTGATGAATGTCTGGGATTAGAAAGTCTTTCCCCACTCCTGATGATCTGAATAGGAAATCCATCCCTGCTTGGGGCTTTTATTTTCCTGAAGCCAATTCATCAATAGCAGTCTTAACTTCTACAATTGTTGAAAATGTGTCCAGATAGTCGAGAGTTGGTAGTGTCTTCATGGCATTAAGAGAACCACCTGTTAATTTAGCATCAACTGAATATAGCTCCATATAATGTCCCATCCAGCTATCTCACCATTTAAACTCTTTAGTGACGCACTTTTTTTCAATAGTTGGGCCGATGGCCTTCTTTATACCTCATACATGCCTCTAACATTACCACTACTGCCAACATTTTGAATGCTTTCACATAACTGGATCCTGTAGTTACCAGCAAATCATCTAGCTACCTTTAGCAAATGATTTCTAAAAAAAAAAAAAAAAAAAGATAAAGTCGGGAGATGTGAACCATCGTCATTGCACACGGTTATAAACCATTTAGAATTGTCCACCTGTGTCGGCGTTCGCACGTAACTCTGTAGCTACAGCGACGTTCCTCCATTTACCCTAGAGTGTCAACTCTGGTACCCATTTCCTAGAGACTGGGTTAACCCCGGGAGCCACCCGGTTTATAACATACCGTGGGCTGCAGCGAGTCACAGCTGGATTGAAAGCAAGCCTCTTATCGACTGCGCTAACGCGGCATTATAATGATTTCTAGCTCCTTTCAATTCACTAAGAGTGTTCCTTGTTACTGAGGAGTATTAACTTTTTGCTGTCAATTAAGGGTTGGAGTTTCTGGCTATTTGCTTCAAACCAGTCCTTAATTCTATGTTCTCTAATCCCACAGACCGATACAGCTGTTTTGTAGTTATTTAATTGCATCACATTTTATGCTTGCTGTAGTTATCCTTGATTTAAGTGAAAGCACCATGGAGCTGTTGTTGGAACGCAAAACACTTTTCAGGGTCTTCAGTTTTGGAAATATTTAAGCTGGAACAACAGAAGCTACATATATGAATAAAAGCATAGATCCCAAAGAATATAGTTATGGCATTTTAATTTTACATTTCAGATAACATTTACTTTACTGGGATTCTTTTGACCCCTTGTTCTTCTCTGTCTCCAGTTTAGTCAGTGAAGTGTTGAAAAAGTTGACAAAGTGGGAGCCCGAGAAAGGAGGGGGGGGGGGGGGAATTGTAAGATTCATCTCCTTGGTTCCATTTTCACAACGCAAATGTGCATTGCATAGCACACAAATTTCACTGGTATATTTTTCTCCATCTTTCAACGTGCAAGACTAATGGGAATTCACTTCATCCATATTGTTTTAACTATTCAAAGTGCACTTCAAATTCACTTGCAACAGCTCAAAGAGAGAGATAGGAAGGCGACTGTATAAATACATCAGTCGACATTAGTCATTACCAAAATGTTTCTTCACAAAAGAAACGGCCTACGTAAAACTGGTACATTAACTATGTAGACTGACCAACTACTTGCTTCTTACGTTCACATTCATACCCCTACCCTGATATTATTATGTCATGGCGTCAATGCTAAAGAATGTACATAACAATAATGAGAACAGATCCCCGTATCAATCATTAAATGTGATGTTTATTATCGGTTCTTACTGTTGACATAATCAGAAAAACAGCTGATTCAGAACGAGGCCGTGTAAACAATTCAGGAACTTAGAAGCCTTTAACTGTCAATCATACCTTTCCAAACTATCATCTCCTTCGTCGAAATAGCAGTTCGAGGGTCGCAGAGAAATGCATTCTAACTGCCCATTCCTTGACAGCAACTCCAAAAGACGTGCGCAGTCCCACACCTGTGAGCTTCGAGTGGAATTGAACTCAATTATTGCTTCCCTTACAAATTTCGCGCATTTGGAGCTCAGAAACCTGGACCTAGGACGGCCTTTGTAGCTCAAATTAAAGGTTATCACCGGCCAGAACTGCGGAAGAAACATAAAGTCCCTCCATCTGTGGCAGGTCGAAGCTGCGCTGATCCTGTCTTTGGGCGACAACTTCGAAAAAATGTGCTCAAGGACAACACTGGGCAGTGAAGCCCAGCCGCCTCCAGCTGCCATTTCTACATTTTCTGACGTCGTCGTCACGTGACCAATGTTGTGCTTACGTGCTTAATTTAGCACAGTGTTTTCATCTGGTGATCACGTGATACGTTAAGTCCCGCCTCCTTTTCTCACTTGCTTTACTCTCAGTGTTGGCGTCTGTAGTTTAGTCATTGTGAACGAGCTTCATAATGCTAGGGTGCCGGGTTCGATCCCAGATGCCGGTGAGTTGGCAGCAGACTGTCTTGAATTCGACAGTGGTATGGAGAGTCGAGCGTTCAGTGAGCAATGGCAAACTATTGAACGTAAATTTGCCTGGAAAAGCTACAACAGTCACACACACTCAAACACACACACGCCCAAGAGCACACACACACGCACTTCACAAAATGCTTGGTTTCTACTGTAATATCGAAAGCTGAGCGTTCAGTGAGCAATGGCATATTATAGGTTAGTTGCGTATCCTTTAAAAGACGTTGCAGAACCAACCCCAACAGCCCTTGGCTGCTAAGCAAATTTACGTCCAGTAGTTTGCCATTGCTTTGTGGACGATCGGCTTTCTTGATACCACTGTCGAAACCAACGCAAGACGCATGGCCCGCAGCTGGGATCGAACCCCTTGTCCCGGTATTACGAAAATGGCAAATTAAGGTTGGTTGCGTATCCTTTACAGGACGTTGCAGAACTAACCCCAACAGTCTCTGGCTGTTGTGTGGTTTTTCTAGGCAAATTTACGTAGAGTAGTTTGCCCTTGTCCTGGACGGTCGGCTTTCTTAATACTACTGTCGAAATAAACGCAAGGCGCATTGCCCGCAGTTGGTATCCAACCCGGCATCCCGGCATTACGAAGCGTTAGCATCGACTTTGCCATAGAGCCGACAAATGGCAAATTACTGAACGTAAATTTACCAAGAAAGACCACAAAAGCCAAAATTAATGTTTAGGCTGGTTCTGCAACATCCTGCAAATCTATGCAAACAAGTTTTTTTTTTTTTTTTTTACTTTTTTATAATTGCAATAACATACTTTGAAAATAAAACTGATATTTTTTTTAACGCACTTTGAGGGGCGGAATTTCCTCTCATCCAACTTTTCTCATCCCTACACTGGAATGGGAGTTAACTCGTAGCCGTTGTATTTAACTGCTTTAGGCCGCTGAAGGGGGATTTAGGGTTTTTGTTTTCCAGTTTGATTCGCTTCCGGAAGAGAACCAATGTCGTTCACTTGAGGGGACAGATGACCATCCAGTCTATCAGAAGGTAACAGTCAGATTCGTGATGACTGTCACTTACTTGACCGACATAACAGTCGTTATTCTGCGCATAGGAAAGGGCAAAACAAACTTATTGCACAGCTTCATCAGAATAGTTTGACTAATTCATCACTGTTTCCATGTGGGCTGTACGTATGAGCATCAGAACATGTCATGGAAGACTGTTCGTTGAGTAATGTTGTTTTTATATCATCTTGTCCTGTATCTATAAATTGCGGTAGCGTAGCAGCTAGAAATTTGCCTGCTGACCGAAATCCACTTCAAGACGGACAGTTCCAACTCCCCCCCCCCCCCTTTTCCTCCCCGCCCGACACAAGGCGTCTGATTAAGCAACACAGAACAGGTTTGATCGGTAGTTTCACTGTTGTAAGGCTATTGGGGATGAGATATGAGCATCTAACGATCTGTCCTGGGTGTTGTGAAGAGAATTCTCACTACCCTCACAATTACTAAATCACTCACCGAATGCAGATTTGTCTATAAATCTATAAGTCTATCATCACATGCCTTACCTGTGTGGGTTCCGGGCTCCATTTTGAAGAACAGACAATAGACACTGCCCACCCATTTTTTTTTTTTTTTTGGCTAACAAGCATGCCATAGGAGGCTACTAATTAAGGGTGTTTACTTCAAAGTCGGAAAGCATCCTTCTGAGAGACATTAAACCAAATGAATACAAATAAGCCAGATCTGTAAAGCGGTCGTGCATGCAAAAACGCAAATTCTGGATCAAGACCAAAGTTCAGAACTTTCCATTGGAGTTTACAGCCAGTGATGGCAACAACAACAACAACACAACAACAACAACAACAACAACAACAACAACAAAAGAAGAGGAAGAACTATATGCCCGGTGCACCAAAAGCGTGATAAAGATCTTTTATTTACTTTCCTGCACGACCTCATGTAGCCCGGCCGTGCTTTCCTACATCAGGTTATAGATAGTCTGCAAATGGCTTTAACACCTCGCGAACTGGGTAAATGGAGGTGATTCTACATTTTAACGTCATTTTACTTTACACAGGCTGTATTACACCATCCGCCTTTCAAAGAAGTTGTACAAGGTCCTGTTTCAGGCCGTTGTTGCTTAGGCTATATAGTACAAGATTTTTTATTTTTTTTTTTGTATTTGTATTTTTTGTATTTGCCAATTGGCAGTTAATGGAGGATGCAGTATACTTTACTTTCTATATTTCCTGGTGTCAGGACCGGATTGAATCTTGATGATGCCCTAAGATATTTAACGTTCTGAAGTCCCTAATGTTTTAAAATACACCAGCTAATCTCAGAAAGCTAAGGTCACGGGTAGTGAGCATACTTTGGATCTTTGCTCATGGCTATGCCGGCGTTGTGGTTAATGAACAGGCATACAGATTGGCTGGATCTGCAAAACTGAGTTGTGAATTTATACATGACAAGGCAGATGTGGTCAAGGCCCTTTGGAAACAAGCAACGGTCTGGCCGGCTCACCACACTCAGAGAAAAGGCAAGACCGGTAACATAAGTATCCTAACTCTGCTCTGGCTGCTGGAGATGTGAACCAGCGTCATTGCACACGGTTATAAACCACAAATGCTCTGCTACCAGCACAGACAGCTGATAAGAAACTGCCCGCATGTGTCTCCATCCGAGGCAACTCAGTAGCTACAGCGACGTTCCTCAATTTACACCATTACCTAGCTAGAGACTGGGTGAACCCCGGGAACCGCCCGGTTTCGAACACCGGCAGTGCGCTGCAGCAAGTCGCAGCTGGATTTGAAAGCGAGTCTTCTGTCGACTGCGCTAACGCGATTTGTGAACCACAAAAGAAAGAAAACAAGCGACCAAGAAATTATCAAAAAAGGGTGGGGGTGGGGAAGTTGTTAAGGCTTCCGCAGATTATGAGGCTCTAAGCTGCGGCTTTGTTAGCATATGCCTAAATCCAGCACTGCCTAGTGTCTAGTTTAAGGAGTAGTCGACCTGGGGGCAGGGGTTTCTTAACGCTAGGCACATGCTCGGACGCCCCAAGAGCATCGGAACCCCGAACTAATCTGTATATCAAGTGACTTGCCTTATACAAAAATATCATTCCTGTAAGTGGCTGTTGCAAAGACCCCAACTCAGTACCTTTCAAAAGGACCTATAATGCTGTTATGACAGCTCTGCCTGAGAGCCCCATGAAAATTATTTTTTTTAGACGTCCTGACGCGGATTCCAACTTGATATTTTTGAGTACCCAGATATGAGGACAGGTCGCATTTACTTCCCATAGAGTATCCCTACACCAATTTTGCCTGGAAACCCAGGTCAAAAGAATTTTTTTAAATCCCCGATCTTGCAGATAACATCTAGTTCAAACACTGGTGCGTTTACAAACAATCCAATAATATAACTGACACTGATTATTGTTACAGGTTTGAATATAATCATTCAAAATACATTTCTGCGTAAGTGGGTCGAGAGCAACGCGCGTTGTTAAAACGTCTTAAGTTAAAACAAACGTATCGTTGCGTTTAATGTACGTTTTATTATACATTTACCTCTCGTCGACTTGGCAACTATAAATAGCTCCGATGTGGGACGATAAAATTAAACCAGCTCTGAGCGTTAATAAGAACAATTTTACTACAGATAAAGATACTTTATTTTCTTCATTACACTGTTGGATTACTACGGCCATTTATGAATATTTTCTTAGTATTTGCCTCGCAAGTTACAACACGAGTGGTAGATATTTCAAGAATCTTTACTTTTAGACAATTTATTTCATTTAATTAAGATGCTGAAAAAATCAGAGGACGTGAATGCAGACGACTGCACTGAACTTTTCTCCAACATTTTTGCCAGACAGTTTATTAATGTACTATTAAATAAATTTGGCACACCGGCCGATGTACACGAAGTGTACAGGGCATTTTTGACAGATCTGGTGCATATAAGACTATCACTTACAAAGTGGACATCATTCCAGGATTTCGTAGACTGGTTAAAGAGTAACTTTAGAGAAACATGCAGGATTTCTACAGACTCAAACACTTTAAAAACCATCATTGAAATTCTAGACTGTGAGCTTTTTAGGAAGGAAAGTGGTGTTTTCCGAAGACTCAAGGGTTTCATTCAGCAAAATATTTCCAAAAGTTTGGAAAAGAGAAAGATCCAGAGGTATCCAATGTATTTAATTTCACGAAAACAGCTCAACATGAAAATGAATGAAAATACCGCGACAGTATCGGGAATTCCCCGAACGCCTAATTTCAGTTTTTTCAGTGCCTCAAGTAAACAGGCACTCTTTGGAAAGAAAAACAGGAGAGAAAGAAATATTCCAGGAAGAATTGTGAACGATCAACGCATACAACTGCTGTTAAATTCGCGTGGCGTTGTTTTGGGTCGTTACCTTTTGATTGGCGCCAATAGAAGGATAATTATAACTGTAAATAATAGAAAGTGCTCTGATGAAGCAAGGAGATGTTAAGAAAAGAGGTGCACTTTTTGGGAGGTTGGGGGTAGGAAGGGTCTTTTCTCCTGCTGTCGATTGACTGACTGACGTTCTACCCCACTAGGAGCTACTCTTTAGCAATTTCAGAACAACGGAGACATCAGAGACGGTGATACAATTCTTGCTATTACAAGAGAAATGCCCACATAACTGCATAGGGAGATTAAACTAGTATTTTATTACTCCTTCCCTTCGAGTGCTTCTGTGAAGAAGAAAAAACAGGTGTAAAGGTGAGGCAGCTCTATTATTAGTTGCTTGCACAATTTACTA